TGGTAAGCATTCTTGTATAATGATGACTAACGGCTTCAGCATGTACTCATAACACTCCATAGAGATTTTCAGTTCTGTGTCGGCCCAAACAGCATAGCTCTAGACAATGAATACATTTTGAATTAATGAGAAACAACCTTGACATAATTCTCTAGACTCAATGTAGGGGGATGCTCTGAAATCTATCTGAAATCTATGATTTTTAAGTTCTGTGCCACCCCAAATAGCATAGTGCTAGACAGTGAATACAATTTGAATTAATGAGAAACAACCTTGACATAATTCTCCAGACTCGATTTAGGGGGATGCTCTGAAATCTATCCGCGTGGTCAAAAAGAGAAAGTGTGCACCATCCCCCTGGTTAGAACTTCTGAATCATTGTTACCAGAAATCACTCCACAGCCTTCTCCCCTCCCATCTAACTCCTTCACCTTCCCTACATCTTTAATTATTCTCTACTAAAAGCCCTAGGCTAAAGCGATTCTTCAATGTCTTCATGTTTCTCCTTAAATGGGATACCTAGGACTCAAAACAGTACTTTGGCAATCTGACGATATTAGGAGTGCAGCCTCGCACTTCCCAATCCCAGAATCGTGTTTTGTTTAAAACCACAAGTAGCACATGGCTGATTCATGGCACCTGGTTACATTAAACTGGAAGTGTTTTGCTCCTGAGACTTCTCTAGATTAAATGTCAACAAAGATTTTTCTAAATTCTCCAGAAACTCTCCTCTTTACTCAAGGTTTAAATCACTTGAGAACAAGTGAACATGCTATTATATCAACAAGCCACTCTTAAAAACCATTTTAAAAAGAAGTATCAACTGATGGAATTTCTTTCATTATGATCTCATAAGGGTGATAAGATCTCATAAACAGTGATAAGTCATTTGTTCTGAATAGAGCATTCCAGTCAGATAAGTTTGAGAGCTGTGTTATTAGACTATTTTTAAATGTTTGCCTATCGGGATATAAAATGGATATATAATGTAGGTTTTAAAGAAAGTGTTAGCCATTTTTTAAAGAGTGTCAGTATAATATCACATCATTTATGTTACTTTTTTGGATCAAAGTTGAAATATGTAGTCAAACTGCCATTATCACCCACTCTTTTGATGACGGCAACAAGGTGCCTTGTCCATGTATGAATAGGAGAGCTGGGGACAAGGAGAGGCCTTGTGTGTGATCAAGCAAGAGGTACACACAAACCACCAAGGTTTTGCACTCCCTCCAAACAAAGGCGATAAATGCAAAGACTTGGTTATACCACAGCTGGACACTATTAAGGCTGTTTCCTCCACATACCAGGCTTATCTCTGATTAGGCTGTCCTGATGAAGCCTCTTTATTTACAAATCCAGCCTGGGTTCTTGAGCCTGTCCTTTTTACAGTTATCTGAAAATTGGTTTTCATTTTCTCTCGTGTTATAATAACTTTTGCTAGAAAGAGAAGATACACCTTCAGTATTTTCTTTTCTTTTTTTTTTTTTTTTTTTTTTTGAGACGGAGTTTCGCTCTTGTTACCCAGGCTGGAGTGCAATGGCGCCATCTCGGCTCACCGCAACCTCCGCCTCCTGGGTTCAGGCAATTCTCCTGCCTCAGCCTCCTGAGTAGCTGGGATTACAGGCACGCGCCACCATGCCCAGCTAATTTTTTTTGTATTTTTAGTAGAGACGGGGTTTCACCATGTTGACCAGGATGGTCTCGATCTCTCGACCTCGTGATCCACCCGCCTCGGCCTCCCAAAGTGCTGGGATTACAGGCTTGAGCCACCGCGCCCGGCAGTATTTTCTTTTTCAAGCATGACTGTGAGGAGGAACTATGGAATGCTAACGACACGCCAGGCTCTACGGTAGGCACATGACATCTGTGATTTCGCTGATATCTTTTAAGACACCTAATGAGGTAGGTATTATTTCCATTTTCCAGTTGAAGAAACCAGGACACAGGCTGGCTAAGTAATTTTCTTAAGGCCACACAGCAGTGTTTCATGTAAACCCAGGCTAAGATCACAGTTTGTGCCAACTTCACTGCACTATGCCAATCTCATTGTTTTAGAACAGTTTCATTTCTTTCATCTTTAAATATTTTTCAGAATTCTACAATTTTTAGAAATGTGATAGCTAGTTGAAATGTCTTTTGGCTTATTAGTTCACTCTCCTTGCATACTACTCCCTGGAGGATGCTAAATGCATCCAACACATTTATTTATTATTTAATTTTTCCACTGGCATGCCATATAACCTTTTGGTTTTTATTCTGTTATAAATGGCTTTGCCTAAATGCATAATCTTTGAGACAAAAATACTTTTGCCATTTCAGGATTATCTATCATTTGCTTTGGTCTTAAATAGAATGGAATGTTCTTTAACCATAGTTTCCTCAAAAGTAAAAGGAGACACCACATGCGTGTTCTAATCCTGTTTCTTTATCAGTAAAGAATATGCCTCCATCTGGTTTTATGACATTTACAAATAATCCTTTCCTACTCACTTTTCTGCTTTTAATATACTAAGTCCTCTGCTGCAAAAGGATAGCCAGGTTTTTAGGAAGCCCGCAGAGATGTCCACACTGAATCATCGATTAAATCAAATTGGTGGATATCAGAGAAGCACTTTTATTTAACCTGATGCTAGTTTCTACTTAAATAGTACTTCATCTGGAAAGACAAGAATTTTGGTTCTCCGATAAGATCATCTAAAGCACAGTGACTGCCCAAGAGGTAACAATAATTCGTAAAATATTATGAAATCTACACATTGAAAAGCCAGAAGCTGTGTTTAGGCCTCACTAGCACCTAAGACTATGGAGAATATTGACATTTGATGTCAGTTAATTGTCAGTGAAGGATGTCAGAATTAATAGTGCCTAAAGTGAATGACTATGCAATACCATACTCTTTTCCCTCTCACAAACATGGTGATGATTCTTTCCCAGATTTCATGCGGGTGGAATGCCGAGTATAATACATCCAAAGGCATTACAAATTCTTCTTACGTTAGGGAAGGCAAGACACCCCCACCTCCAACAGTTATGCAGCATCAGCTAAAACAGAGTCCAAAACAACTATGCATCACACTGGGAGCCAGTGAAGGAGAGGGACGGAGAGCAGGTGTTTGGCTGCCTGCTGAATGGTCCATTTAAAAATTCAACAATAGTCAGAGAGGAGCAGGGAGTACAACAGCCACCACCATAATTGGTGAAACCAGCGTTTCTCAATTCAGTGTAAACTCACACCAGAAAAGAAGGCACACTATAAAGCAGATTTCCATAAACCCAGCGCATCATTTAACAATATTATTTTGAAAGCATGCTCTTCAGGCAAAATCGCTGAAAGACCTACTCATGCAACAAAAACCAGTGCTGCGTCAACGTCAAATCTCCCAATGAGATATTAATCATTAGCTAGAAGAAACAGGCAAAAGCAGGCTTTTTTCACTGCAGAACCAACTGATTATCTTTCATAACTCTTTTGAAAACCAAATGTAAAAGCTCAAGTGAAAAACATGTTAAATGCATTTATGTCTAGACTTTGCCAAGAAAATAAGGGAGTGTAAGTGCACAAAATCAAAAGATCTTACTAAACTAGAATTTCAAATCAAGGTAAAAAAATCAGCCACATATTATAATGTATCTTGTCTTCAGTATTTTAGATTTATACAATCAGCTGAGGGTGAATACTGATGTATATTCAAGATGTACATGCATCCTATTTGGTGAGTAGCACCAACACAGTAAAATTATAAAAATTTAAAAAAAAAAAGCGTTTCAGGCATTCCTTCCCTTAAAATGCTGCACCTTTCCGTAAACTGTATCATAAGCAGACCATTGGAAGGTAGATGAGGCACACCAATATATTCATTATACCAGCAGAAAACCTTAAGAATGGGTGGGTCTTGGGAACAGAAAATGAAGTATAGGTGATTATTGGGTATCATGAAACAAGGATAAAATTCAAGGCTGTCTGTACAATATATACAGATTTTTTTCAAATGTAAATTTTAAAATGAATGCTGCTATTATGTCACTGCATAAAGGAAGGCATAGCGAGGCTGTTCTACTTCCCTTTAAACACAAGGCATAAAGAGTAAGAGATGTGAAAAGCCGATTCTTTGTGCCGCTACTTAATCGCACTCAGTTCTACTCAATGACTTAGCCACGCTGCAAAGACCACTCAGCAGTTAATGGATATAATGCTGGAAAAGCACTCTGAGGTCTTCCAAAGAAAGGTAGGGTAAAAAACCCACAGGAGCATGGTTTTATTACTTATTCCTAATAACTGAGCAGTCGTATATATGAAACTCCCATGACCTGAAAAGTATTTAAGGTATTAATTTATTTGGAATATTCTCATTCTTCCGTATGAAATCATTTCATTCAAAGACTGAACCCTGAAAGCATAGTAGAGTTACCCTGTGCCCTAGTCTGGTCTTGTCAGGATAACCATTACACACTGTAAGGAATAAATATGTTCTTCAAGTGTTACAGCCTACGCTTACAATCTGTCAAAACGTGGAGCTGAGGAGGAGTTATGTGTTTTTAACTGTACACAGCCATCACTAGCTATCACTCTTCCCACAGACAGGAAAAAGTCCACAATGAAACACAGAAACTAAAAATAAGTGACTGAGCAATTGCTCAGAAGAGCTGCACATTGAGCACAGGGTTAAATGTACATATATTCTTTCCCTATTTTTTATTAATGTCAATTGTAAGTAATTGAAATTAAGGGCCCAGGTCTAAGAATAAGGAAAATAAACATGCACTGCATAAATACTTAAAAGTAAGTAGTAAGTAAAATCCCATGCTCATAACCATACAAGATCAGTGTTCTCAATGGCACATGCCCAGATTGCAACTAGTGACTAATATATGTTGCTGCAAATGCCATAAAAAGTGACAGTTATAGGCACTTCAAATGCTCAAAGAAAAATTTTATGTCATTCCACACAAACTGAAAATAATTCTTCACTCACAGGTGTCATAATATGTTCACTTGGAAGAGTCAGTCAAATCGATATTTATTAAAGACCCACTGTGTGCAATTTACTATGCTCTAGTGATGGAAAATACTCAATTTAAAAACAGCATGGTTTACATGCAGTACATTCAAAATATTAATATATGAGTATATATAATTGAACATAGAAAAAGTATAATCCAAAAGAACACCAGAATCAGAAAAATCAATAAATCTATGACTGAAATAGTTTTGTTTTGTTTTTTTTGTGTGTGTGTTTTCTTCGTATTCTGTAAGAACTTATTGGCTGAGAAAGACAGCATAAAAACCTTAAAAGTTACAAGTTTGAAATTTTACATATTCAAAAGGAGATAAGTTGTCTTAAAACACAGTTTCCAAACTCTTTTCTTGCTTCAAAATGATTCATTTAGCCAAATCTCATAGAAACCATAAAATATAAGATAAAAGAGGTATTTAATTAATACAAATTTATTTTATAAGTGCAAGTTTATAATATTTACTTGTTAGGTAAATAAGTGACTGAGCAATTGCTCAGGTTTCTTTGATAAAGAGAAAAATGTGAAATAAGAGTTTATGGATTAAAGTTAGATTCTTCTATGAGCCTCAGCATCTGATTCATTTCTATATTTTGGAGTTTTTTTTAGTACCATATTAAGAAAATTCTGATTCATCCACGTAAATGGTTGCAAATGGTAACATTTAACAGCTCCCTTGCAATCTCAGGTACTCTTCAAGCAAACAAAGACAGCAGGAGAAGCTTCACCCCATGCCCTGAACCAAAACTTGATCATCTATTGGCACAAATTAACTCATCAGTGGTCTTCACTGTGGTATAACCCTTTCCATATGGACACTTCACTGCGTATATAGGTTTTTAAAATTACAATATTTAAATCCAAATCAAACCACTGAGAAACCCGAAACTCCCACTTGCAATGTCCTAGGGGTCAGTGGATTCTGTTTTTGAAAGCCTGAAACCCTTGCCAGGACACACTGACTTGGTGTCAGTAGACAGCAACACAGGTAACCAAGGTGGACACAGCACACAAATGCAGGTAAGCAAACCTAGGATTCCAGCAAAGCGTGCCATCTGCAGATCTGCTGGCCTTTGGTTTCCTTCATCTCCTCCCAATGATCTTGCTCCTCCTCTCCACTGCTGTTCTGGCCCAGGGCAATCCAGCCAATCATCTCTTTACGCTTCATAGTACGCCTGTTATAAACGGAAATCATCAACGTGACATCAGACAGCTGAAAGAGGGCCACCTGGAAAACAAAGGTCTCCTTATAGACGGGATTGGGTTGACCACGCCGAATGGATGTCTTGCAGCGGGACATCTCTTGACCCACAGAATTGAGGAGAAAGAGTTTTCCGTATGTATCTAAGACAAAAAAAAAGGGGGGGAGTGGGGGGAAGATGAGAAACATTAGTGCTCTGTGTCGGCTAGATTAGTTGTAACATTTATATGGGTTACAAATTTCTCTTTTCAACATACGGATCAGTATCCTTAAGCCTGGTTCCTGCTGTTGGGCACACATCTTGTGGGAATTATTAAGGAAGGGAATTATTACCTTGAATGTCCAATGTTTCATGTGGCTCACTGTCCAACACCCATTGCTGATGTTCACTAGCACCTCTCCATGCACAGCATGTATACATAAGCGCACAGGCATATGTGCAATGGTGTTTGTGGGCAGGCACAGTTCTTCATCTGCGTTTATTTATGTAATAAGATAAATATACACATTTTGCTCTACATGGTTTTTTTCATAGTCAAATTGCTATTTTATGCCTACATTGGAGAAATCTCTTCTCATTCTCTACATATTCATGTGTACGGGGGAGGGAGAGGGAGAGAGACAGACAGACAGGGTCTTGCTCTGTTGCCCATCTGTACAGTGGCATGTTCACAGCTCACTCCAGCCTTGACTTCTGGGGCCAAAGTGATCCTCCCCCATCAGCCTCCTGAGTAGGTGGAACCACAGGCGTGTATCACTATGCCCAGCTAATTTAAAAAATTTTTTTGGAGAAATAGGGTCTCCCTGTGTTGCCCAGGCTGTCTACATACGTATCCTTTGGACCATCTCATCCACTCCCATAGTTTCAGTGACATCTACCAAGTTCATAGGTCTGGCCTAGACTGCTCTCCCAAACTCAAGATCCAACTGAATACTGCACTTCTCTTGAAATCCTACACACATCTCACACTCAATACGTCCCCAACTCTAAACATTTGCTGTTCAAGTGTTCCCCATCCCTGTGAATAGTACCATCATTTACCCAATTATCCAAGTCAGAAATCAGAACCTCATTTTTCACAAGACTCACTTTCTCATTCCCAGTCCACCCAATCAGTCACCAAGTTCTGTTGATTCTACCTCCCAAACAGCTCCCAAACCTCCCCGCTTCACCCCATCCCCAGTGCCTCTGAACTCTGTGTACACTTAAGCTCAGGTCACCAGCATTTCCCACCTATATTACCGCACATTTTCTCACTGACCTTCTAGTCAGGGGGTTGCCAGAGTGATCTCTGTACAATGCAGATCTGGCCACGTCACTCTCACCGATAAACATAAACTAAATCTTCAATGCTTTCCACTAGTCTCAGGATAAAAGCTCAATTTCTTGGTGTAGACTCTCTTCTTTGGCCCTATCTTCTAGTTTCATTGCTTACCACTGCCGCCATTATACACTGCATTCTACTATACCAAACTTCCTGCTTTCCTCCAGCCCAGTTTGTTCTCTTTCCCTTTCTCATCTGTATATGCTCCCCATGCTCTGACATCCCAACTGATGCTCAGCCTCCTATGACTTTTGTTCATTAAGTTCAGTTTGGATATCACTTTATCTGGGAATACATGCTGACCTTTCTGACCTTTTTCCTTCAGTCCCACCAGTTCCGATAACCATCCCACAGTCTCCATTAAAACCTAGTTTTAGCCTGTCTCAGCACGTATCACCAGTATTATCACTGCCTATTTACTCATCTGCAAAGACACAGTTTCCCAATGGTAGAGAGAGGGATTGCCTTATTAACTATTGTACCTCTGATGCCTAGCTCATGCCTACCATGCACTAGACCTGCAATAAATATTTTATAATGAATGTTCATGCCTAGTCAGGCAGCTCAACTTTCTTTTTCTTTCCATCTCAAGTTTTCAAACTTGTACAATGAAGCTAAACCTCCTCATTGTATAACCCCTTCACTAGAATGCCAGAAAACAGTGACTGGCCTTATTATATAAAGGAAAGAAAACAAACAAATTTTACCAACATGATCTCCTTTTGCTAAAATTTCTGAATGGAACCATCATAAAATAATTATCTCCTCAATTACATTTTTATTAAAATCAATTTATAAATGTCCTGACCTTTATCTACAAATTTTACTATTGACATGTGCATACTATTCTCTTAAAAATCAAAATGTTAGGGTGTTTCCCAAATTCAGTCATTCTGTACATTCTGTTCAATGCAGGCAGCAAGCTGATTAGTGTTTACTGCTCATTTTTCCACGTAATGACCAGTCAAACTTTTTAAAGCATAAACACAGATCTCTGTAATTTACTGTTCTCTCCAAGAGCATTGTAAGATAGGAAACAAATTGCAACCTGCAGTTTTCTATGTTGATCTTTTTCTATTCCAGTTCGATGTGTTATTTTATGCACTTATCTGCTGAGAAACACAAGGTGTGAAATTACACATCAGATGTGAAAACACTTCTCTGTCTCGGAAACAGGGCTCTCTACTCTTCAAACTGTTCTACAGAAAAGCTGTCAGAAAACCAGCAATGAGGGAGTGGATTTGTGTTTCTGAAGCTGCATAGCTACATGATTCCTGTAGAAAAAGTTCAATCCAGTCACCAAACTGATTGGGCAATTCTGCTGCCAGGTATAGCAGTGGGAATTGGGTTAATCTTGCAAGCAAAAGCATGTTCATTTCACAAAGAGAGCCATTTTAAGCTTTATCCTGTCATAAGATTATTTTCTAATTATGAGAAAGGCTACTTACTTACTACCAAACCACTATCACTGAAGTTGGATTGCATGTGTATAACTCAGAAAAACAATAATAATAATCTTATAAGCAATCCAGTCTGAAGACACCAGACCAAAGGAAGGAAAATGTTCATTTTTCTACTTCAAAAGGGAAACTTCTATTAACACTAATAATGCACTTACTTCTTAACTTCCAGAGCAGAGGCTGTGCCCAGGAAATTCTTCTTCTATGGAATAGTTGGAGAACATGGCCAGGGTCTTTTGGGGTTCAGTGACTTACTCTGGTGAACACCAGTCAGAATGAATGAAGAAAGACTCTAGCTAAGTAAATATGCCATTTAAATAAGCTCTGTTTTTATCTTTGGAAACTGCTAACAGTGGCTACAAAACAATGCTGAGCAGTATTTTCACTTCTGCTGATGATTCAGAAAGCTTTACAGTATCTTTAGTAACTCACAACCATTAGCCAAACATTGAATGGGTCATAATCCTTTGACAGCCTTGTCAACTACTTTACTAGTCACTTGCCTTTTTCTTGTTAAAGGAAGATGCCACTTGTACTAAAATATTTATAATAGTACATAATCACTAAATTATTATGGCACAAAATATGTTATTTGGAACTCAGAAGGCATTTTTTCCAAAGAAACAACATGGTACCCAGTAGTTAGTTACATAGCCTACACAAAATACCTACCTATTTGCAGCATAATTTTCTACCAATTGCTGAGCTGAGCCTTCGCCTAGGGGTCAGAAGAACTATGATTCTCTGGGATACAGGGCAAGGGAATCAAATTTGACCATTTAACCTTCCCTTCTCTTTTATTAATATGTATAAAGGATTTTAAACATATATGAAAAAAATATCACACATAGTGACAGGATATTTCAAATTTGTCATATATGCTACTAATCTTTCTGCTTGATTTTTAAGAAATAAAACATTGCAATTAAAGGCCCTTTAGTTTCCCTCTTTGATCCTGTCCAACTTCTTTTCTCACCAAAGGTAACTACTATCTTGGATTTGGAATTTTTCATTTTCATGTATGTTTTTAAAATTTTACTATATAAATAGATGCAAATACAGGTGTCTAAAATATCTTTAATAGAATTTTTCACATTAGAAAAATTTAACATTGTGGTTTATGTCTTTCCAAAAATTATTTAATTTTCCATTATTTTATATTATCTCTATGTATACATGTATGTGATTAATTCATTTTACCTTCTGTGTGTAATATTCCAGTGTGTTAATAAATTATAATTCATTTTTCCATTCTCTGAATTAATGGACATTTAACTGTTTATAATTACCAAAAATTTAAAAGATTTCAGTGAACATTTTTCTCTATTTTGCATTATGCGAATACGCAAAAATTTCTCTAAGATATACTAGGAATGAATGGCTGTGCTCTTTACAAATTCTAGACACAAATCTTTGCTAGTTATATTAATTGCAAATAACTTCTACCTGCCTTTCAGCTTCATTTATAGTCACTTGCAGTGCAAATGTTTTAAATTTTGTGGAGTCAGGTTTATTGGTGTCTTCTTTTAAGTTGATGCTTTTTTAAAGAAACCCTACCCAAACTCAGCAGTCTCCCATATTATCTTCTGAATCTTAAGATCTTGTTTTTCACATCTGATTTTTAATACAGCTGTAAATGAGCTTTGCATGTGGTGTGAGGTAGGGATCTAATTTTTTTTCTATATGGGAAGGATTATTCATTAAATAATCTATTGTCTCCTCACTAAGTTGTAATGGCATGTCTGTCAAATATCAAGTTTCCAAGCTTCGGTGTCTTTCACTAAGTCTGAGAATATTTATTATCGTCATTTTATAATATGTCTTGATATCTGCTAGGAATAATCCCTCTGTCATCTTTTTAAAATCTATTTTAGTTATTCTAATCCCTTGCTGGGTTTAATTGGCCGTTGCATATGAATTTTAGACTGAGCTTGCCACGTTCTATAAAAAACAAAACAAGATTAAAAAAACAAATTACCGCAAAAATACTAAGAAACACTTAGGATTCAGATTGTTACTGTAATGGACATATAGATTAATTTGAAAAAAAATTTTGTTTTTACAATATGGCTTGTTCTTGCTAATGAACATAGTATATATAGATGTGTGCATGTGTCTGTGTGTATTTGTATAGTTTCCCTTTGTATCTTTCATAAAGTTGTTTTTTTCTATAATTTTCATATTCATCTTTTATTATCTTTTGGTATCTTAGATGTTTTGTTGCTATTATACATAGTAATGTTTTAAAGCTCCACTTTCTGATTGTTGTTGATGTATTATAACACAACTGATTTTATATAAGAAATATTATTTTACAGATTTTTGTTTATTTTTAATGTTGATAATCATTTTCTGTAA